GCTGAAACCAAGAGTCGGATGCTTGACTGACTGAGCCACCCAGGGGCCCGAGTGTATGTGGAGATACATGCATACGCGCTTTTTCATCCGCACACGGAAAGAAGCAGTGTTATGTAGTGGTTGTAAGCACAGACTCTGCAACCAGATGGGCTCGGTTCAAATCCAGGTTCTGCTCTGCCGTGTACTAGCTGTGTGGCTTTGACCAAGTTACTTATCCTCTCTGTGCCTCAGTTGCCTCATGTGTAAAGTGGGGATAATAATCCCTACTTGATAGGGTTGTCATGAGGATTAAGGAAATTACAGCATGTGCTCTGGTTCGTCTCCCACCTCACAGGCTGTTCCTTCTCATGTGCCTTTGCTGGTTTCTCCTCATTCACTGGAGAACCTTGGAGTGCCCCAGCGCTCAGTCCTTGGTCCTGTTCTCAAACCTGTCTGTCTCCTCCAGTCTGTCACTGGGGTCTACAGGCCCCTTGGTCCTGCCTCCTTTCACTGCCCCTCACCCCCATCCTGATCTCACCCTGCTCCGGACCTAGTGGTAACTCCCTTGTCCACCAGCAAGAGCACTCCTTGGCCTGCACCGTCGGCTTCCGTGCCCTTCTCTTGCTTTATCATACTTTGCAAAACCTCAAACATGGTTACACCCGACTCTTGACCTAGTCAGCACCGGCACCTGTGAACCCAAGTTAGAGGCTAGAGAAATACACATGCATGCAGGCTGGTCTCACTTTGGATTCAAGACCACTAGCCTTAGATGGCTCTCCGGCTGCCCTGGGCCACCCCTGTCCCCCTCCCCAGGTGACTACTTAATAATACTTTCTTCTTCCTCCTCAACCTTCTAACCACTGCCTCCACCCCTCCCCTCACTGACTGTTTCTATATCACTGAGAAAATGGAAATTTTAGGAGGAGACCCTCAGATCTCTGACCCCAAAACCTCTCCCCGACCAGCATTAGTGCCCATACACACACCATGTTTTAGCAGCTCAAAGGTGCACCTCTCTTATGTCACATCTCAGCATCTCTGAAATTGCAGCGTTTCTCACAAAGTTTAATTGGCACCATTGTTCTCTCCAGGGTGGATGTCTTACGTTTGACAGCAACTTAGATTTGATGAAACGTAGTACCGCACACTCCCTCGTATTCCCAAGAGTGAACTGTCCTTCGACTAGTAACTCTTCCCCATGAATACTAGCCATCCCATTCAAGGACTCACGTAATTCCCTCCACTGTCTTTTGTAGTGTCATCCCCTCTCTGCTAGATCATTCCCATCAACATCCTGGGTTTCCTCTCCCAACTTGCAAAGACACTCTGGACCTGTCTCTCATATTGGCATATCCTTCCCATTACAGCGAAATTCCCTGAAAGAGTGATCTTCGCTCACCGTCTCCAGTTCCTCTTCTCCATTTCTCTCTTGAACTCCTTCCAACCAGGCTTTCAGCATCAGCATCTACTCTTGTCATGGTCACCAGTCACCAAATGCCACCACAGTTCTCAGCCTCCTACTTGACCTCTCTGCAGCGTTTGAACACAGCCGGGCACTCCCTTCTCCTTGGGACACTTCCTAACCTTGACTTCCAGGATAACACAGTCTCCTGGTTTATCTCCCACCTCCCAGGTGCTCCTTTTTATGCTCCTCTGCTGGTTTCTCCTTGCTGCCCAATATCTAAATCTTAAAACCCCCAAGCTCAGTCCTTGGTCCTATTCTCAGATCCGTCTGCACTCACTTTTTCGCTGATGTCCCCCCACCTCCATGCTGATTATGTACACCTGAACTAGGTACATGTACCTCTAACTGCCGACTCATCATCTCCCTTTGGCTATCCAACGGGCATCTTGAAGGTTATGTTGTTCAAGAACAAACTTCAGATTATTAGGGCCTTCATTACACTTTACCTCCTCGTTCCATGAAACCATCAACCCCTCAAGACACTGTCTTGTCCTGTGTCATGTCAGGTCAGGTCTTCATGTCCAGCACATACATAAAGATTTGTTGGATTAATGAATAAATGAATGAACAAGAAGATACAGAGTGAAAGGGATGGAAGGGATCAGGCTTTGATGGTGGAGGGCATCAGATTCAGGAAATTTCTGAGCTGAAAGGGACACCTGCTCAAAGATGCAGAAGCAAGCTTCCTAGGACAGCAGACCTCACAGGAAGTGGAGGCAGAGGGGAGTCTCCAGGCATGAGACACAGCAGGGGCAAAGGCCCGGAGGTGGACAGGCAGCTTCTCTGGTCTCCTACATCACCTTTGTTCAAAACCCCGTCATTCTCCCCACTGACCATGTCAGTGTCCAAATTCTTTTGCCTGGTTTTTAAGCCTTTTCACTAGTTTATCTGCATCCACTTCTCTAATCTTGACTTCTCATGAATCATCCACTTATCCACTGGGTCCCCCAGGCAAGCCATGCCCATTTTCAGTCCCTCCAGCTGCTATGTTGAGAACACACTCTAGGAAGTCCAGGGCAGAATCAAGAAGACCTTGTAAGAGGACATGATGATAACCCAGGTAGGAGAGAATGTTTGTTTGGACTAGGGTGGTAACAATGGAGGTAACATCACACTCTGGATGTATTTTGAAGAGAGGCCGATGGGAATTGTTGACATACTGTACGTGAGGAATGAAAGAAAGAGGACTCGATGTGGCATGGGGCTGTGGCCTGAGCAACTGACAGGGTAGGCATGTGGCTGCTGACATGGGGAAGACTGTGGTGGGTTTGGAAGTGACTATCAGGAATTCTATTTTGGACATACCGAGCTTGAAATGCATAGTGGACATCCAAGTGGAGCTGTAAAATGGGAAGTTAGACATAGGAGGCTAGAGTTTAAATACATATATTTGCACTTAAAAAGTCAGTTGGTTCAAAGAAAAAATAGTAATAGAGGTAGTATAAGCATAAGGCAAACATCATTAAAGCTGTATGGAAGTGAGTGACCTCGGGGCAGTGCTGTGGCGGGCAGGCAGAGGCTGGAGGAGTCCAAGGGAGAGAAGTCCCATCAGCTTGATGGGACGAAGCTGACCTGTCCACCCCCATCTCCTCTCCCTTCCCCCCAGGGCAGAAATGTGAGCTGTGGCTCTGTGGCTGTGCCTTCACCCTCGCCGATGTCCTCCTGGGAGCCACCCTGCACCGTCTCAAGTTCCTGGGACTGTCCAAGAAATACTGGGAAGATGGGAGCCGGCCCAACCTGCAGTCCTTCTTTGAGAGGGTCCAGAGGCGTTTGGCCTTCCGGAAAGTTCTCGGAGACATCCACACCACCCTGCTGTCGGCCGTCATCCCCAACGCGTTCCGGCTGGTCAAGCGGAAACCCCCATCTTTCTTTGGGGCATCCTTCCTCATGGGTTCCCTGGGGGGGATGGGCTACTTTGCCTACTGGTACCTCAAGAAAAAATACATCTAGAGCCAGGCCCAGGCTCAGCGCCTGTCGGTGTCTCTGTACTGTGTGATTCCCAGCAAGCTCTCAGTAACGCACTGTCTCATGAACACTTGGACAGCCACTCCCCACCCCGTTTGGAGTAATTCTATCGTCAATGTGAAAACATTCCATAGTTTAGAAGTAGACGTTGCCAATGCCGTGAGTTGAGGCCACGGCTCTACTAAAGGAGAGAAAGAGTGAGCGTGAGTGTGAAAGAGAGAGAGAACAGAAAACACGAATGCCTTTTCTTTTGATTCAAGGTCTCAAGATAGAACTGTGGGGACTGGTTAGGATCTGAGGTGAGTCCCAGGCTGTTTGATCCACCAGGGCCCAGATTCTGGGAGGTGCTGGGGGCTCAGAGGGCCTGATCCCCTCGCCTCCCCTTCCCTCTTGCCCAGGGAACTCTTCCACAGGACAAAGCCAACATCAACACTTGACTCTTCCAAGTGGTGCCTCCGGCTGGGGCTGGGGCTGGAGACCGCGGACCCTGGGGAGGCTCCTGAAGACCCCAAGGGGCTCCACTCTTCTCCTGCACGTGGACTGAGACAGCACTGGCACAAGCCAAGACAGTGGCACCCAACCACCAGGCCATGCCTGGGACCGACACCATGAGCACGCCCTCTCGTCCCCTCCTGATTTGGCCAATGTGTTTGCTTTACCAGAAGTCCCTGGAAGAGCACCCACCCATCACCTCTTCCCGCTGGGGGTTGACTTCCCACCATGGGAGGTGGACTTGCAGCAAAAGCCATGTTGACCTTCTCTCAGAAGGTCAGTCCTGGCCTGCGTGCAGGCCATCTACCAGGAGGTGGATGGACTCAGGTCCTTCCCTCTGCCTCTGGCAAAGCCACCTCCCTTACTGCCCACCTTCCCCATCACACATGGGGCTTCCCCTGTGCCCCACCATGCCACATGGAGCAGGGGAGTGTGGTGTCTCTGCATCCCTGCTGCCCTCCCTGGTCGTGTCTCACTTTCCTGTGCCTTTTGCATGTTGGGAGAAGGTCTGGGTGTCACTGCCGCTCATGCTTAGAAACCACCGAAAGCCCCCAATAAAGCATTCAGGAGGAGCAGTTGCTTTTCATTTCTAGACATGTGTTGTCCATCCATCTCTCCTTTCCAAAGTTTGGGGCAGAGAGGCAGAGACTCGAGGTTCAGATTCAGCGGTTCGCAAGAGCAAGCAAGAATAAAGTCCGGGTCTCAAGTTGCTGGTTGTGGGGATGGCTTCTGGGTGGACTTTGCAATGTCCTGACCTTGGCATAAACCCACCTCACTTGGACACGGGGCTTCTCAGTTTACAGAGCATGTTCACAACCATCTGCTTGTGTTAACCTGGACATAGACCGGGGTATACCCAGGTCACATTCCCAGAGGGGAAAATGAGTTAAAATGTCTGAAGAACATTAAACCAGGGATATAACTTATAGAACATAAAGCATAGTTTATTGATTTTGCAAAAATGTATAAGAATTTGCCCTTTTTTTTTGTGATGAAAAGAAAAAAATAGCCAGGGCCCTGATAGGACAAGCACGGGACATAGTAGTCACCATCTGGCACTGTCCACCCCTTAGGCTACTCAAACATCTACACAGACTCTCCACATAATTAAACTCCACTTAAGAACAATGACATCATGCCTAATCCCGATGAGGTTGACTGGTCTGCTTGCACCTTCTCTCCAAAATGAGACTCACAAAGCCTCATCAGTAACATCACTCTGGATGATATCGGATTCTACTTCTGGAGGGCACAAGCACTCCTCAGTATACTGTAATCTACATATTAAAATGTTAATTTATCCATCACTAGCATTCCTTGTATACAATGTAAACACACACATAACAAGCGAGGAAGAAAATCCGCATAGCTGCCAGAGTCCTCATGTCTGTTATTGATCCCAAGGCCATTGTTGATACTTATAATTTCTCTTTTTTCCACTAGCTATCCCATATTCTCTTTGTCTGAGGACCAGCACCTCATGGTTGGGGTATTTCATCTGACTCAGGCTTTGGTGGTCTTGAGTTGCTGTGGTTGTCCATTAATCTTTTACTATTGGCCATGGAAATACCATGGGACACCCCAGGGAATCCTCTACTTCCTATACATAGTTTTCCATGCCACCATTGCAGCAGCAACCCCATTTACCCTCGACGACCAGGACCAATCACCCTAGTCTGTAAACTTTTTGCGTGTTGTTTCAATGGTAGGAGATCAAAATGGCCAAATTATAATCTCAGCTTCTACTAATTTAGTTGAACCATTGACGTATTCCCCAACAGAAGCATTCCTTCCTTGGGAATTATAATCTCTAAACCATAAAAGTCCAAAGATTCAGGAATGGATAGCAACATTTTTGTGAATGGGCTATTATGTGCAATAGTGAGAGCTAGTCTCCCATTCCCACCTCAGCACTGCTGAACCTATGTTTTCTGTATGGGGAAGGGACAGCACTGTGGGCCATACAAAGTTTATACTGCATCCTGTAGGACATCACCTCAACATTGCAGTGTCTCCTGGCTGGTGCTGTAATGGAGTCTTTAATAGGCCATTTCAATGTTCTGTAAGCATAGCTGCTTCTAGATAATAGAGCACATGGTAAGACCAGAAAGTTCCACAGGGATAATTACACCATTGCGTTTCTTTTGCAGTGATATCAACCCCTTGGTCAGAAGCAATATTGTATGGAATACCAGGACTGGAGCCAAGGTGTCCGTGGATGTCGTGGTCAAAGAAGGCAAATCCATATATAGGATATACAAATTGCTGCTCGCTGCTCTCTCCATGATGGAAGGGGTCAATGTGACCAGTTTGACACTAGGTGGCTAGTTCCTACAGGGAATGGCTCCATATCAGGAATTCTGTGCATGTTGGGTACTTGATGCTGGTATTACCTAGATCAGTCTTGCTGAGAGGGAGTCCATGTTGTGTCCACCTAGAACCTCTAGCTCGATCACCATGGCCATTCTGTATGTGAGCCCACTGAGTGAGCACTAGGGTGGCTGGGGGAAGGGAATGACTTGTATCTACAAAACAAGTCATTTTGTCCAAATATTTGTTAACACGCTCCTCTACAATGAGTACTTTTGGGGGAGATACAAACATTCTCTTTCTGTGCCCATTGTTAGAGATTCGCCCACATTCTTTCTTTCACAGATATCCTTGTTACCAATCCTCCATTCTTGCTCTCTCCATGCTCTTGATCATCCAGCCAAACCATCCATTCCATGAATATGTGTAGATCCGTCTTTCTGGACTTCTGTCTCCATCTAGATATAGTGGACAACCACAGTTACTGCTTGAAGTCCTGTTCACAGTGAGGATTCTCCTTCTTCAATGTCTTTGAGGGCATTCCCCGTGGTGCTGCGACCACCCACTTCCAGCTGGTACCAGGATTGAGATTTTTCTTCCTCCATCATTTGATCAGAGTGAGTTCGTCACAGGGCCTTAGGTGTTGGATGAGGAAGAGGTGGTGATGTGGCAGGAATAGTTGACATCCTCTGAGCTGTTTCACTTCCAATTGATAGAATGCTGCTCTACATACCCAGCCTTATGGCTTGATCAATCAGATGGCATCCAGTTCACGACAGGCAGCTCAGGTTGCTTAGTCATTTGGTGTCTCATGGTCAGGTGTTCAGTCTCTTCCAGGGCCCAGTAGCAGGCCAGAAACGAATTTTCAAAAGGACAGTTGTTATATGCAGAAGAGGACAGGACTTTGTTCCAAGAGCGTGGGGGTATGTGCTGAGAGTTTCTTATTAGGGCTGGCTGGAGGCTCCACCCACCATGTCTAAACCACAGACAATTTCAACACCATTGGATCTGCTGGGTCATTCCGAGCATCTGAACTGCAGCCTGCATCTACTTTGGGATCCACCCAAAACCAGAAGTCTTATGGGTTACCCTGTAAATGGTTTGGAGCAACACACACAAAGGGGGGTACGTTGCCTCTCAAATCCAAACAGGGCTACCGATTGCAGTGCTTCCATCTTAGTGGCAGGCATAGCAACTTCTTCACTTGGAAGGCATAGCCTGACATTTCCTAACCCCCGGGTCCCTAGAAATTTTAACAAGGCTACAGGTTCCTGAATGTTCCTGAGGTTTATATACCACCCTCTGGCATGTGTGGGTCTTTCTAAAGCATCTGGTGCACTTGCCATTTCCTTTTCACTGGGAACAACATGATGTCATCAACGTAGTAGGTCAGTGTCTTATTATGGGGACATCAGGGTAATCAAGGTCTCTATACATGAGATTACAACAGAGAACAAAAAAGCTGACATAGCCCCACAGTAAGAAGCTACTGCTCTGCCCAATAACAGCAAATGGCTTTTGGTGGTCCTCACCAAATGGTAGAGAGAACAACAGTTTCCAGACCAGATGTTGCATTAAAAGTGCTAGACACTGTGTTGATTTTCTTTAGTAAAGAAGCCACATCTGAAAAGCGGCAGTTTGAGTCACCACCTGAAGGAGTTCATGATGAAATATGACCCTTCTCCAGACCCACCCATTTTCCAGTGTTGTAACTAGTCTAGTGTGTGGGGGCGTGGGGAGTTCCAGGAACTTTCCCTGGTCTACCCGAATAGCTCTTCTACCTAGTTGGAGAGGTAGAAATGTTGGGATGGCCTTAATACATGACTTTGCCTCGGGTGATGAGTGGAGGCTTAGCCTGGGATGGGGGAAGGCAGTGACTGACCAGCAGGAAGAGGTGGAGGTCTGTCTGGTCCTGCTGAGACTGTAAGGTGACTGCCCACAGCAAAGACTAAGAAGCAGTCAATGTCAGTTTGGAGACAGGGTCTTCAGCTGTTAGAAGAGCTGGCAGAGAGGCTGATGCCCAACTGAGCTGTGTCTCCACCAAACACCTAACACATTAGGGCATCTCCCAGGGCATCTGCCTGGAGAGCAAGGAAGCCAGGCCTGGAGAAGTGGGAATAAAGGAGATGGAGTACAGCAGGCAGGGAAGGCAGAATTGTTACACTGACCAAGTGAGTTTTTTG